CTAAAGGTAAAATACAGCAAACTGTATTTTTTGTCCTTAAACTACCATAAAAAGTTACTTCAGAGTTTACTTAATTCAATGCTTAATTTTCTTTTAAAAAGATAAAATAAAGAAAAAGGAGTTGTCATTTGATAAACTAGAGACTATATGCAAGGACAGTTTATCACAGAGTAATACATAAATCCTCTGGCCAGCAAGTAAGTGGTTAGTAAAGAAACCACACTCCTGGAGCAGAAAACACTCTGTAAGGAACAGTGAGAATAAGATCTCACCAAAACCAAAAATAATCTTGCAGCGAGTCAATGTCATCCTTCTGCAGATGATGAGTATAAGCGCTGTGGCCACAACTTCCTCCCAGATAAGGAGCCCTAAGTGTTACACTGATCTCACTGTTGCTTTTACCCCTTATCTAGGGGTAAATTACCACAATTTATATTAACTTACAGTTTTGGAAAGCTCCCCAAGTTTTTGCAATAATTTTCAGTGACATTTTTGTTTCCCTATAGTACACACACATAAAGAGGATGTAGTGCATAATCAAGCCAAAAGTGCCAGCCAAAATGTTTTCAGTTTAAAAGAGGTTCATGTTCAAATGCTGGTTAGTGTTTGCTGGATGTTGGAAGCTGCAACATCTTATGTGTACACGCTCATGCAGTGTCCCAGCTTCCATGGATAAAGCCTCCTGGGAAAAAATTTGCTATTGCATTTCGTAGACTGTATTACCAAGTATGTTAACTATCATACAACACACCATCTTTGAACTCGTGAAAAAACATTTCCATTAGAAACTCTGCACCTTTATCCACTTGGTCTGTGCTTGTTTGTCAGTTTATACCTAGAAAAGTACCACTGAAACCAGGGGCATTGAATTTCTGTCTTTGACAGTGACTCAGGCCATAAAAAGCAATACTGCAAACCAAACAGCCAAATTTAAAATGTTTTTTATGTCTAGCTTCTCTCAGGGCTCCAAAAGTAGTAGAAAAAAAATTTCAGACAAATGCATCTAAGTCAGTTTTGTTAGTCTTTGGGATGCTTTTGTTGGATTAAAGACCTGAGGCTGTTGACTATCTATGGCTAAAAGGGTAATCCAGAAAACACCCAAAGGTACTTGTAACACTTTGGTTGATAATCTTATCATTCTCTTTGAAAAGCACATTCAGGCATGTTCTCTCCACCCTTTTAAAAAAAAAAAAAAAACCACAACAACATAAACCAGCACCAGTTTGCTCAGCCAAGAGAGCTCATAACGGTGAAGAGCACTTCTCATGGGATATGAAATGTGAATTATATTGGAAAATAAACTCTAGATTATATTTGGCTTTCCTAGACCATCTACCAGCAACAGATGTTCTCTCCTGAAAGTGATATAATTTTGACAGCAGTACAGCAACTCCTTAAATAAATTACTGAGTTATTGTCAAAGTAGTACAGATAATTTTTTTTAGGAAAAGCGATTTCACTCTTTAACCAATTAATTACGAATTTACATTCATTTTCTTCCAGTTGTGAAATCAATGCTAAAGCTGATTTGTAGTTGTTTTTTAGTCTTTTTGGTAGAGTTCCTATATTGTTGCTGTCACTACAGTCACTGTTCTTACAGTTAGACTTTAGGTAAGAATGTTGAATGAAATCCTGTCTCCATTACAGCCAAGAAATTTGTGGCTGACTTCGGTGGGGCAGGAATTTTATCCCTGGAACCACTCTCATGGTTCTGCCCCTGCCCCTGGCCACAGGACGGTGAGAGGGACAGGGACAAGAAACCTTGCGAGGTGGCCAGACCTCTTCACTGGGCGTCCTGTTGCCTCTGTGAACTTAGTCCCTTCCACCTCAACTCTACACAACAGGTTTTGGAGGTAGGATTGTGAGAGCAAAGAAGAGGCGGAGAGAACTGGACATACCTATTGACCTTATTCCTGGGGAAGGCTCTCAAAAGCTGCCTTCGTTCCCTTGCTTGGGATCTGCCCATGATTCTGCATTAGTGGGGAACCCAGTTGGTTTCTGGTGCAAAGGAATTAAACCATCAGAGAGCAGCATATACCAGAAAGCAGTGCGGGGAGGGATGAGCATGCTGAGACGGACTTGATCTGACTGGAAAAATCAAGCTGTGGATTTTTAACAGATAGTTCTGCGTCATCTACAATATGAAACTCATTACAGAGAATTTGGATGAGGAGTTGGTCTTATCATGTTTTTATATAGGGACAGTCTGTTGCCATATTTTTTCAGATATGAATCGCATTTTATTTGTAGTGAAAAGCACTTGTCTTTCATTTAATATTTTTGTAAATGATGTTGTCAAAACCCAGTTTCGTTTTGCAGGAAGAGCCTGGGGAATTTTCTCTGAAACAGTATCAGGGGCATTTCTGCATGCCAAATATTGGTGTTTCCAGAGCAGGGACTGGGACAGGGCTAAAGAGATTGTACGGTTCATTTCTCTGAATTTGCTTCATGAAGGAAGGACAGGTCAATGTATGAGCAGGCATTATGTGACTTGTAAAGCGTGCCTAAGTCAGTCTACCTGTTTCAAACTTATTTCTGGAGTCATGTGAAAGCTGCCTACTTACTTGACCATTTCCTGGTGGAAGTATCAGCATTAAAGCTACCGACTTGAATTCTGAACCTAACCATATCCCCTGCAACTCCAGATAAGTTAATGGAGCTGCAGAACAAAAGAGATAAAAGAAATAGAATTTCCCCACAGGCTTTAGTGCATGTCCTAATAGGACCTTCACACAACTCTTACAGAAGTCAAGCAACTGAAGGAGAGGGATTAAAAGTTTCTTCCAAATCTCCCGTGAAATTCTCATTTCTGTGGAATCATATATGTACTTGAAGAGTTTTTTTGTTGTGGGGCCAGTATCATCTAATTTCCTGAAAAATAGGGGGCTTATATCAAAACGGGTCATGAATAGGCACAACCTTGCAACATGCATTGTTCAGGTGATTCTGACAGCCTGGAGAAAAATCTAATATTTGGATACATCAAGCCCAAATCAGTGTCTGATTTTAAAACATTTAAATACTGCAGGGCCTGGCTTATTATATGCATTTATGGAACTCCTTGTAGTAGCTCTGAACCCAGAAACTGTAAATAAAAGTTCGTTTTCATTCACATACAGAGCACAAATGTTGCAAATTGCCTCCGGTCATTTTTTACCAGCAGGTCCAACAGTGAGTAAAGGGAAATTAGGATGATGCTGCAGATAACTGAGGTAATTGAAATGGTCAATTTGACGAGATTTTAAATTCAACTACTGGGAAATACATAAAGATGCCCCTTATCTGTGGGATGTAAGTACTGGCCTACAATAGAAACTGGGAAAAGCCTGGGAGGTTGTCCTTGCTCAGTGTGATCAGGCATTTAAGACGAGGCAATGGGACAAAAAAAAAGGCAGGTGACTTGCCTTGCACTTCACTGAGATGGGAGATAGGTGACTCAGTGTACTGCACTCCGCTTGTTACCATATGATACCAACACGCAGTCGTCAAAAGTAGAGGAGAATAGTGCCAAAAAAGACTGTTTTCTATTCTGTGTTCCAGCTCTACACAGATCTTTAATATATGAGGTTGGATTGCTAGTTCTTTTTTATCAGTAGATGTGTTATCATCTATAACTCGGATGCAACTCTACACAGAAACTCTGTGTTGACTTCTTATTTACAGTGAAATCCCAGCTCCCGCCGTGCAGAAAACCAGCATCGCACTGGTACTCTTTTCAGCAGTGCAAAGGATTCATGCTAGCTCTCTTCAGAGACGTCAGTTTTTCTTATACCTCTACAGTTCCTCTGTTGCATCGGATATAACGTACTAGAAAAAGTACTTTGAATGAGAACCTTAATTACTAACTCAAAAAAGGCAGATATGAATAAAAAAAATTACATGTGAAGTACTGCACTGGTATTTTCCCAAGGAAACTCCACCATTCTACTGGGACATGGAAAAAGAGACAGTACAACCCTCATTTTCCTGGCCAAACAGCTTGTATAATAACAGCCATGACCAAATCCAAGAAAATCAGAAGAAGTGGAAGGATGCTCCAATGCCACTCCTCTTATACCAGTCCATTGATTATAGTTTGATCTAGAGAGTTTACAGACTGATCTAGCCTGAAATTAGGTTATCTTGGTACACATTTGCAGCTAGAAAGAGGTCTTCAGTGGCAAGCGCAGCAGCAAACAAGCACTGATTTGATATCTTGGGTTTCTAAGTTTAAGTAACAGAATTTCCCAAATCAACATTTTCCTTCATCATACCTTAATAGACAGTTAAATTGCTTCTCCTAGGGTATAGGACAAACTTTTTTTTAGATTGAAGGACAGAATCCATCATTACTGCTACAGTTCTGTAACACAGTTCTTTTTTGGAACCGACAGTGTTTTGTGAAAGAAACAAAGAAAAAAAGACAGACTTGTTAATAATCTTCTCTTTGGGATTATAGTAGCAACTAAGAAATACTGCTTTTGGTGAATATAAGCCAGTCTTTTAAAAAGGACAGTGGCCTTCTCCACTTTTTCCCATTCCCAGCAAATGTATGCTGAGATAGCCTAAAACATGCTCAAAGTTATAGCAATACATTTTTTTCTGTTTAGAGCTCATCAGTCACAAGAGGAGATGAAGATGAGTAAGAGTATTGCCTTTTTCAGAATTCTTCTAGCGTATGAAAAAAGACCTATACACAATTAATTTGTACACTGCTGCATACACATAATCTCTTTCCGCTAGGTATAATGCACCTTTGGAACAAGCTGCACGGGACCGAAAATCCTGGGAACTTTGGGATCCATTTTGGCTGTGTTACACGTAGATCTGTGAGCAGCTCCAAGCTGCATGCTCGCTTCTTGTGATCCCTCAACGGAGGAATCTATATCCATAATGTATTTTCTTAGCTGGTTTGTTACGAGTTCAGCACTCCTGCCACAGGCCTTTCAGGAAGGTCCCTTGTATTTTTCATACCAAACTTGCTTGTTTAAAAATCTCATGTTTCTCTTGTCTTACATCAGTCATACAAACGGCGTCATCACTGCGGAGGAGTGACGCAGTCCCTGGATAGCTGCATAAGGACCCTGCTGAAAATAATGGTGGTACCTCGGCATGTGGAAGGAAGGGAAAGTGGGGCCACTACCTTGCATGGAGCTGGCTATAGCAGAGGGTGTAAGAGGCATTCCCAGGCGGCTGTATGGAGGCAGAGATCCTTGGATTGGATGAGGAATGGGTGTAGCTATGGATGCAGTGCTGGTACCCAGGGCACTCAAAGACTGTGGATGCTGAAATCCAGGAAAACTGGTTGAGGAGGATACCCAGGAACTGAGGGACAGGTTATCAGATGTTGTAAAAGCTGACCCTGCAAGCAAAGAGAAAGAATGCCTGACGTTTGCACTGCAACGCACAAAGCTGGTAAAATAGCAAAAAGGGAGAAAGTCTTTCACAGCAAGGCTAATTATAATGACGACTTGTCATTGGAAATACTTCCCAAATACTTCTCCTTACATCTTTCTTTATATTATTATTTGCCAGTTGCTGTCTTTTATCACTGCGTCTTAGACAAATTTCCATTTTAAGAAGCTGGTTGCTGTGGCTTGAGCAGTTAAATCAGTTTTGCACATTGGACATTTTTGGTATGAAACACTGAAGAACCTTGCAATGCTGCCACTAAACACTGAAGCGTCTACTCTGATGTGGAATCTCACTGCATTGCATCCCTGTTTTGCATCCTTTTTTTTTTACCCCAGTAAAACTTGTCAACACTGCATCTTTTCACTCAGCTTGACTTTTTCCAAAATATAGAACAAAAAATTCTAAAATGTCAAAACATTTGTTATTTTTCCAACTGTGTACAGTGCTCTAAGAAATAACAGTGATGCTAAATCATAGTAAGAGGTGTGTGTTTTAAGTGAAATGCACAAAAATATTAAAAACTTGCTCCCAGGGTAATTATCTACTTTTGATCAAATGGAAGTGGTTTCTTTGGTATTTTTTAAATCTGAAAAGTTCCAAAAATTCTTTTCACAAATCTTCCACTTCTTTGAAACACTTTTTCTCTGAAGATTGCAAAATCAGAAAAAAAGGAAAAATGGTATCTTTAAATTAGAACTAGTTACTTATTTTATTTTGACAGTAAAATTTTTGGGAAACCGATGAATAATTTGTTTTGATAATTATACATGGTCATTTTCAAATAATCTGGTGATGGTGTTGCCCTTCACCTCTGCAGTTCCTCTATGCATCTGGTCATCATCAGATGTCTGATTTCTAAAAATGGGGAATACAATAAAATCCTATAAATAAACTCTTATTTTTTATTCCTCTTCAAACAGTAATTCAACTCATGACCCTTCTGTATTTTCTTTCTTGTCCAGCTTTGTCCATTGAGAAAATGTTTCTTCAAGAAATAAATTTACTGGCAAGAATATTTGGCAAAATATAATTTCAAGCCAGTATTGCAAAACATTCTGAGAAAACAAATTTTACAACAGGTATTCCTTTCATAAAACTGATTCTAGAAGGTAGGTTCATCCAAATTGAATGAAAAAAATTGAGTGAAAAGTAAAGTTTACCTGTCAAGGTAAACTTATTGGAATTATGTTTATCGTAGCCACGTACTCAAAACTAAACTATGAGCAATAGAAAGAAACAATAGAAAGAAAAAATGCAGATTATTATTTAAAAAAAAAAATCATAAATCTCTTTAGGGATATGTTCTCAAATCAGAAAGAGAGCTACTCTTGATTAATTCCTCCTCTGCTTAATGAAACAAGTAAAATGGCCCAGCAACAGGACAGAGAAATTGTGTCGGGTCAGCAGTAGAAACAGACTTGAACCAAATCCTGACCCCACCACTGAACCAAACCCTAACTGCTGGGAGGTTAAGATCCAGAGCCAAACTGTAAGGATAACACCATACTCGCAGACCAGAGCAAACCCCTTTACAAATCAGGGGATACCTGGGCATTATTGCACTACAGGGAAAGCGGGATGCGAATCTGGATTTGACGAGAAGGTTTACATTTGGCTCTGTTCCAGGCGGCTACCATGAATCCTGCGTGTGGATGCTGGAGCACAGGCACCCAGACATTATGCATTAAAGGGTTTTAACGGGATTTATATATTTCATATCTGTTAATTCCTTTGGAAACAGACTTCTTGTGATAAATATACTACTGAAGGCAAGCCAGTTCCATCTGAAGATGGCTGAAGTTGGCTGAGATGAGAATGCTCTGGATGTAATTAGAAATAAATAGCAGTGATAGACTTTCTTTGTTCTACACAGAACAAAGTATGTTATTCCTTCTCATGAGGAAGGGCCCTCATAAGGGCCCTTTCCTCCTCCAACTGCAGTGGTCTCTAATTGCAACCTAGTACTCCAAAAAGTCTCACGTGCCACGTTTGCCAGCAGCAAGGAAATGTGCTGTAGTAATTCTGAGGCCGTCGAGGCCTCAGAGAGCTTGTAACACACACCACTCAGCAGCGTGTTTGTATTTGGTTGTCAACTCTCATACATATGGAAGGACACCCCTCAATTTTCCATGCAAGGTAGTTTTCAAATGCATCAGAAGAAATAAAAATGTCCGTGGAGTTACAATGAGATCGCTATTTCTCTCCTCATATCTTTGAGGACTTTTCCTTATTTAAAGACACCAGACCTAAACAGAGAGTGAAGGCAGTACAAGGTACTCATCTGCAAGAGCAGTATGTTTTACCCTCTGTGCATGCCTCTGGTTGCCCAGAGCAATCACGTCCTATGTTAGCATATGGCTCCCAGATTAGAAAAAAGTTGTTTGCCACAACTCATCATCTTCCTCACTTACTCATTTCCCATATTGCAAGCAAATGCAGAACTGTACTCTGCATATATTATACATAAAATTAATTTTAATAAACTATTCCTTCATCCTGTGACACCTTCCTCGGGATTCTCTTCAGAAGAGAAGGGCTCTAAAGGCCAGTTCTCACACTGAGGTTCACCTCATGCACCCAAAGGAGGACATCATACCAGGGAAAAATATAATTCTTGGACACACCAGGGAGAAATATAATTCTTGGAGAGAAGGTGCCTTGCTCTGAGCACTTCTGGTAAGGGAAAATTTAACAGTGTCTTCAACAATAACTGGCCTCGGATCTAAGCTGACGTGAAGCGAGGTAATCCCCCAGAAGTATGTGAAAGGATGGCATTGTACCAGCTGAGGAGTTCCTCCAGAAACTCCGCAATCTAAGGAACTGCTCTTGGAATAGACGTGTATGAACAAGCCGACCTAATCACATTTTGTTGAAGAGCAACTCGTGGTTAAAAATAAGTGTGTTTTCCCTGCACAAGTCCAAAGAGCTTATGATCAGAAATAATGCTGTTATCTTAGCAACACTGTATGAAGTTAGAGGACAAGACAAGGGCACTGCCAGTCGGAAGGCAGATAGAACTGCTTTACCTCAAGTGGCTGTTGCATATCAGGCAGGTCACGAAGTCAACGTGCAAAGTATAATGCAACGCAAGTTTGTGCTAGTCAACGATCCCACAGGATGGGTTTGAGATCTATTTCCAGTGGCAAATTATGACAGGTGCAATTTGTCCAGCAAGTATCCCCACAAAGAACAGCTCTGCCTTGCTACTATTTTTGCGACTGCTAAAGTAGACAAACCATTTGATAAAGCATTTG